TGCAGAATTCAAGGACATACCAGCAGTGACAGAACCACCAGGTGAGTTGATAAACATCCTGATGTCTTTTGTTGGATCTTCAGCATCAAGAAATAAGAGTTGGCTTATAATAAAATCAGCTGACATGTCATCAACCTGTCCTGACACAACTGAGAATTAGTGTTCTTTTCCCGTTAACCTACCCTTAATTCTTAATAAATATTATCAAGTAGGATTAGTTTGCAAGCGTTATGGCATGGATTAACATGAGTGATTGAATTCACAGACAGCCCTTTCATCAATAAAATGTGATGACAATTTGAAACCACAAGCAACTGGGTTGTGAAAGGGAAACTTAGATTCGAACCAACAGCTACAACATAGATGCCAAAAGCTACAAGTGATGTGCCCTTCTGGAACATAGAAGACATGTATTCAGCTGGCATACTGATACTAATCAACAATTGTAATTAAATGAGAGAATTCTATGCATCCAATGAAGAGATGATATCAAGGCGAAGAATAGTTGTGAAAAACCATGGCCGTCCCTCCGATTAAACTCAGTGGTGTTGGATGGAGAACCATTGCATTCACATGGAACACTTAGTAGCCCTGGATGTACTTAATCCAAATAACTAGCAAGTGGAAACTCATATGGCACGCTCTAAGAGTTGAAATCACAAAGATAACCCAACCCACAAGACCAATTAGCTAGACGCCCACCAACTTCTAAGGCCACCACGCACCCGACCAATAGGAACGGCCAATATGACATTACCAGTCTGCTGATCTCTAAGCTAAAGAAACAAAGATTCAGTTCCTACATCGAATAATAACAAGACAGTACTCAAGATTCAAGAAAGCGCAAACCTCCATTCAATTCCTAGATATAAAAGAAGAAAAATTTGTCAGTCCCGCTCCAATGAAATCGAAGGAGGAGGTAAGAGCACAGACCTCAGAGCCCAGAAAAACGATTCTCTGACGGAGGAGCATATTGGTAGTATCAAGTTCCTCGAATCTCGGCATCCGGGGAGCCGTAGCGGCGCCAGAGGAGAAATCCACAGTATCCCAGTTGCTGCTCAGAGTCCGTCTATTCGTAATGCTTGACCTGGATGAGCTGTTCAGGGCCTTAACTGATACGGAGTTCCTTGAGCCGCAATTGTAACCCTTCGTAGAGCTCTTGCCGAATCTAGTGCTTGACGGGGAAGGAAACTGCTGGCGGACGAACGCATGATTGGAGAAGCAGAGAGGGGTTGCCGATTGCGAGGCTGCTACCGCTGCGAATGTCAAACCACTATCCATTTCAGCGCTCTCCAAAAACCCTATCTACTTCTGGTTCTAATTGAATGTGGTGTGTTGATCTTCCACGAAGCAATCAAATTGGTTTTTGGTTGAGAGACGGGAGAACTGGGAGGGACAGCCAGAGAGAGAGAGAGAGAGAGTCACCGGATAATTTTAATTTTGGATTATTGACCAAACACGCCCCTCGATTTTTCCTTGACTAACAATAAGTCTGTTAACTTTGAAATTTAAAGGGTTAATTGCATAGTTGGTCACTGACATTGCAAAAAGCATTCATGTTTGGTCACTCGAAATATTTAAATCCATTTTTGGTCACTAACTTTACAAAAACCGTTCATTTATGGTCACTCTCCGTTAGCTGCCGTCCAACGCCGTTAACGGCGTCCGTTAAGTGATGATGTGGCTGACGGATTTGCCTAATCATCACCTTTTAACCCGAAAATTGACTGACCCGACCCGCCACGTCATTTAAACCCTCCATGTCAGCCAAACCTAACCAAACCTCTAACCAAACCCATTTCCCGGCATCAAGCGAGCTCAGAACTCCGTTTCCAGACTTCGCAACTCTCTCGAACCTGATCTCCAGCTCTTTCATCAACTTCGCTGCACTTTGCCCTTTTTCCTCGTCGGATTCGACCTTCTCGTCGACACCATTGCCGTGTTTCAGACACGAATCCTTATTTTTCTTCTCTGCTCCGACATTCGTCTTCGCCTCTTCCTCCGCCTGATTCTTCTTTCCAGCAGTCGATTTTGCTTCCTTCCGAGTCGGATCCGGGCGATTCCGGCCCGATTTCACTTCCTTGACCTGATTCTTTCTCGCTCCTTTGTCTCCCTTCTCCTTCTCGACGAATTCGTACCGCTGGAACGGAGTCGCGTCGAAGAAATTCAAAAAGTCCCACGCCGAAGAAGACCTCGGCTGCGGCGGCGTTATCCACGACCTAGCAACCGACGCAAACTCTCCTCCTCCTGCGCTTCCTCCGCCGTCTCCGTACGAATCGTACTTCGGATACGCAACGAAGCCGTCGGAGTCAGAATCAGAACTGGAGCTGGAGAATTCGCGATTGGGAGAGGGAGCTTCGGAGGAGGAATTGTTGTTGCTGTTGCTCTTACATTCCCTGTCGCAGGTACAGCTCTCCGGCTGGGAATCGTAGGGAGGAGCGGCGGCGATTTGGGAGGCGTGGGCGCGGAGGAAGGAGAGGAGGGCGGGGGAGAAGGAGCGGAGGGAGTGGAGGTAGGCGGCGTGGGAGTCGGCTACATCCCCGACAACGCCTACAATCTCACGAATCTGTTCGACGACTCGCTCGAATCGGCCGGGAAGACCTACCAGAAGAACTTCAATCTCAACGTCACGGGCTAGCTTGACGACCGGACCCTCCGCCAGATCGTGCACCCCAGATGCGGCAACGCCGACATAGTCAACGGATCCATTTCTCAAGGCAAGTGTGTGGCGGACTCCATTCCTCCTTCGTCGTCGGCGAATTGGCGATCAGAGTTGGAGAGTAAGAAAAACGAAAGGGAGGAAGACGGCGCGGGATAGAGGCAGATGGATTTGTCTTCGATTAGGGTTTTAGTCAAAGGTGGGTAGATTAATTGGTGGGTCGGGTCAGTTCTTTATCTAGGAGTCGGGTCTGGTAGGGTTTGGTTAGGTTTGGCTGACATGGAGGGTTTAAATGATGTGGCGGGTCGGGTCAGTCAATTTTCGGGTTAAAAGGTGATGATTAGACGAATCCGTCAGCCACGTCATCACTTAACGGACGTCATTAACGGCGTTGGACGGCAGCTAACGGAGAGTGACCATAAATGAACAGTTTTTGTAAAGTTAGTGACCAAAAATGGATTTAAATATTTCGAGTGACCAAACATGAACGCTTTTTGTAATGTTAGTGACCAACCATGCAATTAACCCGAAATTTAAATGATTGGCCCTCCTACCAAATTTTTTTTTCCGGCTCTTGTAACATCCCGAATTCTTATTATAGGTTCAACCCAAGAAAGTGTAGAATTGGTCAGTAAGTAAGTGGTCGAGGTAAGCATCTAGCTAAGATAACTTGCAGCGGCGGATCTAGGCGAGCCATGGCCTAGCCCTCCCTGGATCCAAAGGTCGTATAGTACTTGTAAATTTCCGATTTTGGGTGTATATTTCAATGTTTATAGGATTACGCTCCAACCCTCTTCACCACTTTTTAAATACGGCCCAGTGCTCTAACATATTCTGGATCCGCCGCTGATAACTTGTATCCTTAAGCACGCCATGACAAGGTTTAGTCAATCAGTTTTGATTTGTATTGGTTATGCATGAGTAGGGGATGATGTGTGGTAAGATAGCTACGTCAAATTCCTATGACAAACTCGTAGGAAATAGTTGGAAAAGTGGGGTAAATGGATGTTAAGTGGGTTCTGTAAATTGGGAGATTAAACTACAAGGACTAAGGAGTCATTTGCTTCAAGGATTTGAAAATGAGTTTTTTTTCTATAGTGTGGGATTTCAAAACCTAAGGTTTTATTTGGGATTTGGAAAAAACCTTTGTTTGTTCACTCATTTTGATCATGGATTTATTGGTTTGGGTTTTTGAATAAAAAAACTGCACTCACCTTATTGCCCTTCTTCAACATATCAAACGCCAGGGCTGCCGTTGTTATTGTTTCCCTTCTTCAACCCTTCTTTATCATTAGCAGCCACGAAGGAAGACCGAACCAACCACTTCGATCTGTAGAGGGCACAAGAAAGCAGGGGATTCTTCATTGTCCGCTCGCTGTTGTACTCCCCTGTTCGGCAGCAGGTACGTCGCCTCTCATCCATCATTCTCTTCCCATTTGGATTCTGGATTTATGATGTGGATGCTGATTTCTCCTTTTAAGACAGAAGAAAATCCAATTTCCAATTCCAGACAACTCATGGCTAGTAGAGGAAAGGAGATAATAGCTTCAGATGCATTCCATTATGATGAGGAAGTAGTGCTATGTGATTGCGGACTAAGAGCGGCTAGAAGAATTTCACGTACCTCTGGCAACCCGAATCACAGGTTTTTTGGCTGCCCACTGTTCAGCCGCTTAGAGAATAACAAGGCGTGTGATTACTTTGAGTGGTATGACATTAGAGTTGCAGTATTCAAAGCCACGGCTTCGCTATCTGGAAAGGTTTCAAGGTTAGAAGCTGGAAATAGACAGCTTCGCAGTTTGTTGGGGAGATTAATGAAAGATGGAGCTAGAACATAGGAACAGACTGACTTATTTATTGAGCTAGAACTGATCAAACAGAAGTTAGAACGTCTAGAGTTAGAGGGTACAAGTAGGAAGTGATTAGAAGTAGCACATGTTGTAGCTCATGTTGTTTCTAGCCGAGTTATGGAAGGAATCAGTTAACATGTATTGCCTCTTTTTGTGTTGAATGAAAACAACCTTTCCTTCAATATACAGACTGCTTTGTTCTTGTTGTTTCTAGCCGAGCTTAATGGCATAAGTGGACAGAACCTATGGTCTGCAGGAGACATAAGTTTCCAGGAACTTGAGGCATCCAAACAAACAAATCCATTCTCATAGGAAGCTGCTGCAACCCTTTTCAGCTTGGATACAAATGACCAACTGCTGTGCATTGAGCTTGATTGAGAAATAAATGACAGCAAGTACATCATCACATAAACAAGAGCATATTCATAAATTGCCTAACTTCTTCATCTATTCAGTTACAACCAGTTATACCAGAAACCATAATTCTAACCCTTGTAAACTAACACATGTTGGGATGAAAGCAGAACTTCTGCAAAATGATCATGTTTCCACAACCAAACACTTGCAATGGCTAAATACAGTATGATCTAACCTTGCACACACAAAAAAACAAAGTTTCACATACATCCCACATGTGTTCTGCAAAATAGACTACCAAGTAAATCCTACACCACCAAGCTCAACGGAGCAAGTTCTTGATGAAGTAGCACCGGTCTTCATCGCTCTCAAGGGCATAGAAAAGTCGAGTCTTTGGATCGTTGTCCACTAAAGCCATAGAAGCATCAAGTACCGTTCATGAGTGATCCGTTAACTTTTCCGATCTCCTTGATCAAAGCAGCCTGTTTGCTGTTGTCACCATCGCGATCACCTATAATCGAGCCAAGTGCTTCCACGGCCTTGAAGATCATTGGCTTAAGCTCACCAAGTTGGGATGATACATTGGTGATAGCTTCATACATTGGTGAGATCATTAGGCACTCTGGTCAATCTAGCCATGTCCTCTATACATAACAAAAAAATGAAAAAATTAGCTAAGAACAATATTTAACTTCTCAATCAAGACAACACCATCCAAGTAGAAAATGGTAGCAGTAGAGTGCTAGAAATTAACCAAAGGCATCAACTATCTTCATCTATTGAACCTCATGATACATAGGAAACCAGAAATGGATCATGATATTTTATTAGGGTTCATCGAAGAAGATGGATTTTCTAAGCACGACACCACCATATTAATCAGTTGGAGTTTGGAAGAGCGGGAAGGTCGTGCTTACCTGATACCAGATTTGCCGTTCGAGGTTGACGCCCAGATGAACTCCAATGGAAGAAGTTGGTCTTCGCTGGATTCTGCACTTTTCCGGACCGCCAAAACAAGAGTCTTCTTCCGCAGCTTCTCTGTTTGAGGGGAATAGAAGAAGAATGTGGGAATAGAACGACAGATAGGGTTAAGGGATAGAGAGGGTAGTTTCGGTTTAATGAAAAATAATGAGGATATGAGTGTCATTTTTGCTCTTGGGTTTTCAGCAGCTTGCCAAATCCCTAATAAGCATGTGGGATTTATAAATCTGTGGGGCCCACGGATTTGGGGTAAAAAAACCAAATCCGTGGGCCCCACGGATTTGTTTCAACATATTTTGATGAAGCAAACAATGGATTGTACCTAAATCCTTGCAAGTTGGTTTTTTTGTACCAAATCCTTGAAGCAAACGACCCCTAAAACCCACTAACAGTACACGATTTGGAATTCTTTTGGAGGGGACACGAGTCAGTGGAACCGTTGCCAACGGTGATCGATAGCAGATGGTGATTAACTTATAACTTGAGTTGATTCGAACATCAAGGTGTGTTGGTTCGAGGGGATTATGTGATTTAATTGATTATGTTCAAGTATTTGCATAATTTCATTACTACGATCATTCGCTAAGATATATATGCTCCTATATGCTTTTACGTTAAGTATGTGTATGTTCATTTCTTATGTTTCAATAAGCATCACATTGCATGCATCACTGATTTATGTTTTAAGAGAGAGGGAAATACGTTACGTTTTGAGTATACGAGCTTATATTTTCCCATTGTGTGGAAGATGAATTTAAGCAAGTGTACTATGTGGATTATAAGCAAGTAGGATCACGTTTTAACCCTCTCTTAGCTAGTAACCCACGGTCACATTACTCCCCATAGTGAGGGAGTCTTTTATATATGTATGTACGAACCCCACTCCTGGGTATTAAGGAGGTTAAGAACCTCACCCCTGTATTATAAGGTGGTCTTATTATGAGGTATCCCACAGCCATGTAGAGCGTGCGTATTGTTTTTCCCATGTGAGGAAACTAGGGGTGTTCAAATGGTTACCGTGGTAATAACCAAACCAATTATGTCTAAATTTCATTAACCATGGAATAAAATGTCTTGACCAAACTGTCCAAATTAACACAAAATCAAATTAACCAAACCAAACCAAAATTAAATTGATTTGGTTAATAAGATAATCGGATTTACCAAATAACATAGCATTACATGAAAGCAATTATCCTGTAAATGAATAAAACATAACCATATGTTGTTACTATCATAAACTATCATTATATATAAGCAATAATAAAACTAATCATCCATGATTATCATCATCGTTCGAGTTAATACATCATTCACCATCTCTGCACATAATATAGTTATCTTACAAACCCCTTAACATAAATATATATACCAATACCCCTTCATCAGGAAGTTATTGCTCTCCTACAAAACACTTAAACTATACATAGTTTGACGTGACTGTCATGGTATTGTACGTAATCCTAAAGTCTAGTAGTTGTCCAAAATGTTTTGGTTTAGTAAATAGGAAGACCCATTTAATTTTTTACCCATAATGTTTTGGCTTGTTGTGCACATGGAAATAAATTAGTGAATCACAAAAGTTTGGTTTGATTGGTTGCATGAAAGTATAAATAATTTTGTATATTAGGTGTATCATTAATTGGTTAATTGGTTTCATTGGTTAGCAGTGCTGAAACCAAACCAAACCACCTAAACCAAATAATCTAAATTGTTTAACCAAACCAAACCAATTATCCAAATTAACCAAACCACAGTTAATATGGTTACCACGGTAACCAATCTGTTTGAACACCCATAGAGGAAACCCCTATTATGAACTATGTTCATGTTATAAGTAAGTAAGTTGGTGATCGTGGTGGTGTGCTAGTTAAGTTGAGACCGGTGACCCTTTTAAGAGAACTCTTTCCAAGTAAATTAAGCATTTCTAATACACGAGCATTACATAAGCACATTCATTTTATGTATGTTTAGTTTCTTCTTTCTCAAGTAAAATGAACTTAGGACTTAGGACTGGCCCCACACCCGCACCTAGTAATTGTAGGATTATCAGCAGCTCACTTTAGGGAGTTGACTAGATCTTGCAAGGCTCCAGAGGATATCCAGTATGGGAAATTTAGTTCTCGTGAATTTGTGGGATTCAAGACTTGATGCGAATTTAATAAAAGTATTTATGGTTACTATCTTTGTATGTTCCAAGAAATTGTGATTTGAACTTAATGATATCAAGGATATTTAAGAAGAAAGTTTCCGTTGTTTTCTAAGTCTTTGTGACTATTTTATGGTTAACAGTTTAATGAGGGTATTTTAGTAAAAGTAGTATCTGGTCAGGTTAGAGTGTTACATTTTGGTATGAGAGTCGGTCTCCTCTATCTGCACTTTGCAAGTGAGATACTGGGAGCTGGTCTCAATGTTTTCAAAAGAACTACTCGAACTTATTTTGTTGAAGCATACGTATTTTGTGGTATGATTAATTAGATTAGATAGGTTCCATGTGCCTAAAATGTTTCAAGAATTAGATTTCTTTAGCATTGACGAGTGCATGATATATATAATGCCGTGACTTATTAATTATTCCACAAGAGATTAGTAGATAGTGGTTTTTCAATCAAAATGGTTTCTTGCTTGATTTATAGCTTATAATTTTCCTATTTTGCTAATAATACCGCTATGTAAGGAGAGTCATAAAAGTCGAATCAAATGTGAAGACTAAAAATCATTTAATGCAGTTGACAATCCACAATTAAGTAATGATTTGAGATCTAAGCAAAATCAGTCAAAGGTTAAATATGACAAGTGAGCTTTTTTTATCATTTTCCTTTCTAAATCTAGTGAAAGTGTATTTTGATTTTGATTTTTTCTTTTTTTATTTGGTTATCGAATTGGAGTGTGTTAGAGCATCCACATAAATGCAATTGCAGAAATAATTGCATTTAAACTCTTTATTGCCAACTCAATGTTTTGGCAATACACGTCAAATCACTTTCATTCACTTACATCAATGCAATTAACTTACAATTGCATATGTAATTAAATATTATGTTTAAATTATAAAAAATAAGTAAAAGAAAAAATATATAATATAAAATAAAGAATCTCCATTTTTGTAGACGTTGTTGACTTTCATATACAATTGCATTTGTTGCAAGCTTACAAATATGCACTTGGTAGCCACATCAATGCAATTGGTTTTGCAAATAGGGATGGCAATGGGTCGGGTTGGGTCGGGTTTTGCCAAATCCAAACCCAAACCCATGGGTTTATCTTTGAAAAAAACCCGGGGTAAAACCCACTGGGTTTGAAAAACTCAAACCCAACCCAACCCGCTGGGTATCCGCGGGTTCATGGGTACCCACGGGTTTTGTCGTAAAAAATTTACAATTACAAGTTCTTATCAAAATTAAAGTCAAATATCAATCTCTCAATACAAATTATCCATATATAAAACACCATTCTAGAAAATTCAAGCAAATCACAAATTAATTATACAAATTGTTCAACACCAATCTAGAAAACTCAAAAAAATTGAAGCAAATCACAAATTTTCCATAAATAACATGTTTAATTGAAAGTTTCTTCCTTTCAATTAAGTTTCTTTACTCTCCACTCCATAACATCAACTTCATTCTACACAATTAAAAAGAAAAAAT